CCAGCAAAGACCAAAAATTTTATGAGCGTGGAATTATGCTACTACCAGAAAGATGGCAAAAGGTGTTGGACCAGAACGGTCAATATATAATTTAATAAAGTATTTGTTTATTATACGAAAACTGTCTTTCATTTCCACAAAAAAAAACGAAATGACTTTCCGAACAACCCTATATATGCACGACAATTATCCTTCCTCCAGAAAAGTATAGGCTCCGCAGAAACCAAATACAGCCTCCCAACTGAGAATGAAATGGAACCTTGAGAAAGGGCATCAGAAGAAATATTTAATGATCCAAATTCGAGCCATCGTCAATTGGATGAAAAGCAGTGGCCAGAACGAAAAAAAACTGGCGAAGGGACTCCTGAAGAAGCGCTAATAAATTTCATCAACACTCCTCCGCAAATATCCTAACCACAGCAGGTGCACCTAATTGTGATGGCTAACATTTTCAGTGGGGTTAAGGAGACTCTTAATCTGATATCTTGTGATCTTATCCTGTCAAAAACTTTTGCACTCATTCGAAAATAGTTGAAAAATTTGTCGAGATTCTCCTTTAAATCCGGAAACGACGTTACAAATGTGCCCCTCGTAAGCTGTAAATCGGTATATTTTCGTCTCATATTTTTTCTCCGATCAATAACGCATTTATACACCAAGTGCGTAAAAACTGCACGTCTTTTATTAATAAAAACCTCCATTTTGCACTATTCAACTTGTCACACCGACTGATTTTCTTTAAAAACGAATGACACTGTATTAGATATATATTTTTATTACTTTTGCGGCGCCGCAACAAAACCGCAAAAATACCAGCAAGTGTGCAGCAAACTTTGCGGTGCCGCTGTGGACCCGCGACGGCATCCGTCGCAAGTGTGCACTGGCACTAAGTATTCGTATTAGCGCCGGTGCACACATGCGACAGTTTGCCGCAGCGGCACCGCAAAGTTTGCTGCACACTTGCTGGTATTTTTGCGGTTTTGTTGCGGCGCCGCAAAAGTAATAAAAATATATATCTAATACAGTGTCATTCGTTTTTAAAGAAAATCAGTCGGTGTGACAAGTTGAATAGTGCAAAATGGAGGTTTTTATTAATAAAAGACGTGCAGTTTTTACGCACTTGGTGTATAAATGCGTTATTGATCGGAGAAAAAATATGAGACGAAAATATACCGATTTACAGCTTACGAGGGGCACATTTGTAACGTCGTTTCNGGTATTTTTGCGGTTTTGTTGCGGCGCCGCAAAAGTAATAAAAATATATATCTAATACAGTGTCATTCGTTTTTAAAGAAAATCAGTCCGTGCGACAAGTTGAATAGTGCAAAATGGAGGTTTTTATTAATAAAAGACGTGCAGTTTTTACGTACTTGGTGTACAAATGCGTTATTGATAGAAAAAAAAACATGAGACGATTTTGGGTACACCCATATACCGATTTACGGCTTACGAGGGGCACATTTGTAACGTCTTTTTCGGATTCAAGGGAGAATCCTGACAAATTTTTCAACTACTTTCGGATGAGTGTTGCTTCATTTGATGAATTAACAGCAAAAGTTTCTCACAGGATAAAATCACAAGATACCAGATTAAGAGTCTCCATAACCCCACTAGAAATGTTAGCGATCACAATTAGGTAAATACATAGAACATTTTCTGCGAATTTTCAGACAGTATCTACCAATATGTAAAATTGCTGAAGTATTTTACTTATTTTTTTTTGAAAGCAATTAGGTGTAAAAATGAAGAGAAAACAATTTATTATAAAACTATATTTGAATATGTAAATATAAACGTATAAATAATACAACTAAAAATCAATTTATATAAATGTCGTAGTCTTCGTCAGGCTCAATTTGAGACTCCGAAGTGGAAGAAAGTGCTGGGGAAGATTGAGTTGGAGGTAATGGTGGCCGAGCTTGCAAAAGTCGGCTGATGGTGATACATAGGTGTTTGGGGTAAAAACGTCGGTGGAGGATGGTGCTGCTGATATTGCTGATAAGCAGGTGGCGTTGGTACAGCACCCAATCTAATTCTTTTAATGGTGCTCAACACCTCGCAACGAAATTCCAACTTCTGGTCTTCGGTGAAAAGTGAAACAGAAGGCAATAGACTTTCAAAAAATGCCCGATCGGGATTGATATCCACCTGTTGTGGTTGGGGAATTTGCGGAGGAGTGTTGATGAAATTTATTAACGCTTCTTCAAGAGTCCGTTTGCCAGTTTTTCTTCGTTTTGGACACTGCTTTTCATCGAATTGACGATGGCTCGAATTTGGATCATCAGATATTTCTTCTGATGGCCTTTCTTCAGGCTCCATTTCATTCTCAGTTGGAAGGCTGCATTGGGTTTCTGCGGAGCCTATATTTTTCTGGAGGAAGGATAATTGACGTGCATATATATATGTTCGTCCTGAATCAGCCGCCTGTCCAGATTTTGTCTTCTTTTTTACATTTTTAGCATACCTATCTTTAATGTTTTTCCATTTTTTAACGAATTTGTTACCTACAATTGAAAACAAATCGATACTGTTCTACTATTGCAGGTATTTGGGTAGTATTTGCGATCAACTTCATCTACCCTTAATATACAGTTCCGCTATGTGGGATGCCCTGTACGAAACTTCGTTTCCCCAATTAACTGAAGAGCTATGGAAAAACATTTCTGAAGGGTTTGAGAAACATAGTCAATTTCCGAATTGTTTAGGTGCTATCGATGGCAAACACGTGAGAATCAGAAAACCAAAAATGAGTGGCTCATTGTTTTACAACTATAAAAATTACTTTTCAGTAGTTCTATTGGCCATTGCCAATGCGAATTATGAATTTATTTACATTGATGTTGGAGCTTATGGCAAAGATTCAGATAGTACTATATTTGATAAATCAGAGTTTTACAAAAAACTCCAAAACGGCGAATTAAATATCCCAAAAAGTAGATCCTTGCCAGGCACCGTAATGCCAAAAATTCCATTTATGTTTATTGGCGATGAAGCCTTTTCACTCTCCAAAAATGTAATGAGGCCCTTTAGCGGGAAAGTGCTTTCAGAAAAAAAAAGGATATTTAATTACAGATTGTCCCGCGCTCGTCGAAATGTAGAAAGTACATTCGGGATTCTTTCAAACAAATGGAGAATTTTTCACAAAGCACTAAATGTCAATTTGGACTTTGCTATTCTTTTAATAAAAACATGTTGCGCTTTGCATAATTTTGTAAGAAGGAGAGACGGCTATGCACTTCAAGATGTATTGAGTATACAAGGTCTTCTTGAGAGAGAAAACGAAATTGTGGGGATGGTAAGACCACCAATTCAATACACCCAAGCAAGAAATACGTTGGCAGATTATTTCCTTTCGGATGTCGGAAAAGTGCCTTGGCAAAATAATTATATTTAAACAATAATTTTAAATGTTCAATTAAGTTTTGATAAACGCGTGTATTAAAATTTATAGTATTGTATGTATTACTAGTACTAATATAGTTCTAATTGAATCAGTTTTATTGTGAGATATTAAAACTTTTCCATTTACAATTTACCACAATAGTTTAGGTAGACGAGCATATGCAATCGTACTATTCAACCCTGTCCAATGAATTCAGATAGGTATGACAAGTCATCCCAAACAACATAATACTCCATGAATGCCGGTTTCTTGCCAATTTTATTTAATATTCAATTGCTTGATAATAAAAGCAAAATTAATAAATTACAAATTTAACAAAACTTCTCACAGAACTAAAAAGGAGCTCTTCCGTTAACCGTGTTGCAGAAGCTATAATGCCAGTGCATGTA